TGGGACAAGCAGTTCTACCCGAACATGGTCAAGTAAGCAACATTTGGGAGGCAGGGGGCCTCTTTGGAGGGCATCTGCTTTAGAAACGGGAAAGGTGCCTCATCTGGGGGGGCTCTGAGGGTTTGCTTGGGGGAGCACAAGTGTTTCAGTCTGAACTTGGAGCGAATCCCCCCGTGGATCTCCCCAAAAGCAGATAGTGAGTGTCCGCTGCCTCCTCCCCCGAGGAGACCCGGTGCTGAGGAGAAAGGCTCTTCCCGGCCATGGAGCAGGAGGGCGAAGGGCAGCACCTGTTGAACAGGACCAGGGTTTGCTTGTCTGTAACGGCCACACTCTTGTCCCCTCGCAGGGAAGGCTCTGTCATGCTGCAGATTGATGTGAACACGGAGAAGGGAGGCCTGTCTGTGAACAAGAACTTCCTGGTGGATTTTGGAAAGGAACCCAATGGGCCTTGCCTGGCCCATGACATCCACTTCCCTAGCGGGGATTCCACCACCGAGCCCTTGGCCTAGGCGCCACGTGAAAGACCCCCTTCTTCTCTCTTCTGTAGTGCAGCCATTAGGAAAGCGCAGGGTGGTTGGGTTTGGGGGTCCCCATTCGTCGCTGGAGTCGGGATTTCTGCTAACATGAGCTTTGGAGACTCTGCCTTGCTGTAAGGGTTGGGTTTGGGCAGACCAGCGGGCAGCGGCATACGGCACGTGTCCAGTGCTCTTCCCAGTGCAAATCAACCGCCGGGCATGAGTCATAGAGCGTAGCCCAGGGCAATTGCTCAGGGGCAGGGACGTGCAGCCAGCACAGTGCCCGTTGGCAGAAAGTGAAGTGCCCCGTTTGCTTGAGTTGCTGTTCTTCAGCCAGCTCCGTCCTGGATTGGCTTCCCCGGCCCGGGAGGCCCCTGGCTCCCCTTCTCGCGTGCTTGGGCCGGTGTGCGTTATCGCCGGAGGCGTGTGAAGTGCCTTAGTTTGAGAAAAGGTGCCTGTTCCCTGACGCTGGTTGGCTCTGCTGTTCTGCTTGAAACATGAATAAAACTTGTCTTTGCATCAACTGCATCTTCACATGTCTTATTTCTTGGACCCTTTCTGATTGTTTTCAGCAGTGGCAAATGTTTAGGGTTTCAGAAATCCCTATGGCAGGAACAGTGGCTGGGGAAGAGAGCTTGTTAGTCTTCCTGAAACCCAAAGGTTAAGAAAATGTGAATGTCGTGAATCCTTATAAATTTTAGCTTTTTATATATTTAACTTGGGAAAAAAAGATCTTATCTTTCTCTCTTCACACTTCTCATGGCCAAACACAAAGCTAGAGCTCTCTCACCCTTAACAATCCAGGAGAAAACCAGTCCCTTCTGGAGAATGGTTCCATAGCTTCAGTGAGTTGTCCAAGAGGTCTGGGAGAAATTGCCCCCTTGGGGGGCCTCTTCTCACTGGCTACAGAGGATGACACTAGACGAGGTCTTGAGTTTCAGGAGGTGGGAGGCAGCCCTGGGGTGCTGCTCGAGTGTGACACCCCGTCCTGATCCTCCAGAGCTGCCTCCTCAGAAGGTCTTCTCGGGGGACATCCCCGCTGCCGAGGAATGAGCCTGGTCTCACCTACCTTCAGACCCTGCAAAGCACGTGTCCCAGTGTAGGTGCCTCCTCCTCCTCCTCCCCGCTGGCTGGAGGGAGCCTGGCCAGCAGACGTCCCCATGCCAGTGCGAGGCCCAGATGGCCGGAGGCGGCTGTGCTGAACCCCCCTGGAAACCCCTCCCTGGGACAGGGCCAGGCGCCATCGCCTTATCGTGAGGAAGAGCTCCCTGCCGAAGGGGCCTGTTTGTGGGCTCGATCGGAGCCTGCTCTTCCTTGTGCCACCCACTGACCACCCTCTCTGCCTTGCAGGTGGTGACAGCAAGGCGAGGATCAGCCAGGCTTTGAGCCACGAAGACCGACGGGCAACACTGCGGAGGTGCCCCACCTCCTCCTTGCCCCATCGGGCTGTGCTCTGCCCCAGCCAGATGGACGTGGGCGCGTTTCCACTGGTACCAGCAAACTCTTCCATCCCCTCCGAGCGAGGAGGACGAGGCAGCGACCTGCCAGCCAAGATGTGCCCATGGCG